TATTTTGTGAGGGAGAGCTTGGTACAAACTCTGAACCACATCGCTTCCAGGCCCAGGATGCACTAGCACATTAGTTGCTAAAAACACTGAACACTGAAATGTCTGGGGCGCCTGGGTGGCTCAATGGGTTTAAGCATGTGTCTGTCTGCCTTCTGCTCAGATCATGATGGGGGGGCCAGGGGTCCTGGGATCCAGCCCTGCATCTGGCTCCCTGCTCAGTGGGGAGCCTGCTTCTTCCCCTCCCCTTGCCCCCTCCCACTCTCTCTCTCCCAAATAAATAAACAAAATCTTTAAAAACATAATAAAATACTGAAATATCTGTCTATATTTCTGTACCTCCCAGTAAATCGCTCCTGTCCTACACGCCCCCTCATCCCCCCATCCAGCAATCCAAGAGTTAAAGCCCAGCACAGGGCGCCTGGGTGGCTCAGACGGTTGGGCATTTGCCTTCAGCTCAGGTCATGATCCCGGAGTCCTGGGATCGAGTCCCGCCCGCGTCGGGCTCCCTGCTCCTTGGGAGCCTGCTTCTCCCTCTCTCTCTCTCTGTCTCTCATGAATAAATAAATAATAAAAAAAAAATCTTTAAAAATAAAGCCCAGCACAGCAGAGAGCCTCCAGGTCCCCCAGCTCCTGCAGGGGGGCTGGCTTCAGTTCTGAAAGTCAGTTCCCACACTGAACCACACTAGACACTTTGAGGAGCACCCCTGCTGTTCTAAGTAAGACCCTGGGCTTCAGCCACAGCCCCAAGAAACCCCCACCGCCCTGGCTCGGCTCCACTTCAAAACCTTTGTGATTCCAAGACATGCACTTCCCTGCTAGTGTCACCACTCCTCAGGCCAACTGTGATCGGCTGATGGCAGGTGACGGAAGTACAGAGGAGTCTGGGACGATGCTTCCTCTACTTATTTCTGTAAGGTCTAGTATCTTCGTCTCCCATAAACTACGTGTCCGTTAGAATGCCTACACACGCCAATATGGAGAGACGTCTGACACCTGACAGGTCAATAAAGCAAGACGCAAAAGGATACTAAGAGTATGAACACGTGCATCAGTTAAACACACACAAAGTAATGCATCTTGTAAATGCACACATACCCACGTATACATAAATGCACACATACAGGGGCGCCTGGGTGGCTCAGTTGTTAAGCGTCTGCCTTCGGCTCAGGTCATGATCCCAGGGTCCTGGGATCGAGCCCCGCATCAGGCTCCCTGCTCAGCGGGAGGCCTGCTTCTCCCTCTCCCACTCCCCCTGCTTGTGTTCCCTCTCTCGCTGTGTCTTTCTCTGTCAAATAAATGCACACATACCCACGTGTATAGTTTTTCGTATACCAAACGTACGTTATCTGTACGTATCGCATACTGTGTGTGACCACTCTTGGGAGTGTTGTGGTCTTTAGTCACACTGGCTAAAAACGGTGATGGCACAAGTTATCTTGTCCAAATAAAATTTATTAATAAGATCAATATAAGAGAAATATATACTTATGATTGTTTTCTAGAGGTCTAGGAAGGCAATTTGTGACCTGTAAAGAATAAACAAACAAAAAAACAAACAAAATATACATGTATATGTATACATACACACAGAAGTATAAAAACGGGGCGCCTGAGTGGCTCAGTCCATTAAGCATCTGCCTTCAGCTCAGGTAATGATCCCAGGGTCCTGGGATGGAGCTCTAAGCCTTATATAGGCTCCCTACTCAGCGGGGAGTCTGCTTGTCCCTCTCCCTCTGCCCCTCCACCCCACTTGTATGCAATCCAAATAAACAAATCGAAAATCTTAAAAAAAAAAAAAAAAAAAGAAAGAAAGAAAAGAAAAGAAGTATAAAAATGAACTGGTTACCAGACCTGGCCAACAGCATCGCCATGGGGTGGAGGCAGCCCACAGGGTGTGAGTTTGGCTAGGAGACAGCCAAGGGGGGAGGGCGGTTGTGCAGAGACGACAGAGAAAGAGAGGTAGAGACCAAGGAGAGAGACAAAAACAGTGAACTGAGGGACACACTCGGAGCCCAGGCTGGTGGCGGTCTCTGGGAAATGGAGGTGACAGTTAAAGCATTTTTAGTTTTATCAGCAGTTTCATCCCTATATTCTAGGAATAAAACATCAGATGCAAATATAAAAACAAAACTGTAAAAGTTGCTTATTCTGAGTGGTGGGAATAGGAGTATTTGTTACACCGACCTTTGTATTTTTGTCTTTTTCTTATTTGTCAGGAGGAAGTAAAATTCACCTTAACAATCCCTCCCCGTCCACACACCGTGTTCGGGGCCCTCAGATGTGGACGCTGGGTATTATTTATGAGTTCCCCTCATCATTCCCACTCTACCTCCCACTGCCCAGACACCTCATGTTGCCAAAATAGCCCTTACTAGCCTGTTACTGATTCACAAGCTGTGCTTTTTTTTTTTATGATTATAAATATAGTCATCCATCTGAAGTTCAACGAGCATTTGTCAAACACCGTGCGAAGTTTCAAGCACACTGGGCTGAGTGATCTGTGGTTTCTGCCAAGTCGCTCCTGGTCTAGCAGGACAGACAGATGATGTGTGTGCGAAGTAATGACCAGGCATGGGATTAGGCAGAATCAAAGCATCCTGACTAAACACGTGTGCAGCAAAGGAGGGTGTGAGTGAGTCTTAGGAGGGCAGCCCTTCATGGAAGGACAATGAAAGGAGCCGGGAGAGGCTTATACGTGAAGAAGAGAAGGGGAGAAGTACAACCATGGGGCCCCTTTTATATGCCAGTTCCACACACATCTCAGTACAGCAACCCAGGGAAGAAGGAGAGGCTGCGAGGGTGGAGTAACTCCGCTAGAAGCAAAGAACAGTTAAGTGGCATGGCAGAGTGTGACCCAGATGTGAACATTCAAAGCTGAGGACGGGCTGGATAAGAAGGCATGGAGGTTCGCCGGAGTCAGAGTCCAGGGGCTTCACTCTTTCCTGCATTGGGATGCCCGACTGGCAACAAAGGATTGGGGGTGGGAGGGGGGGTGTATGCAGCCTGGGGCACTTGCTTACTCATCCTAGGATGAGGCCCAAGCACAGGGGATCGGGGGTAACAAAGAGCAGAGACAGGGAGCTTCAGCCTTGGACACACCTCCACATCTGGCCTCGAAGGGCAGCCTCCCTTCTTCAGGCTCCCGGGCTCTAGAGGAGGGGACACTTCCCTGCCACCTCGTGGGACATGTCCTCCTGGGCCATCCAGGGCCAAGGAGGCAGTTCAACCCCGGGAGAGGGGAGCAGGGGCTGGGAGAGGCTCTGAGGACAGCTGAGGGGAAGGCACCGCCCTGGATGCTGCCTAATCCATCCGACATGGGGACACACTGTTCCAGAAACCAGATGACAATTAATAGGAAAAATCTGCTCTCACAGTGCTGCCAAGCATGTCACAGGGCCTCAGCTGGTCTCAGCAATGCCCCATTGTCCCCTTTGGCTGAGGCCCTCATGCTTTCTCAGGTGGAAGAAGGAATAGCTAGAGTCAGAGGGTTCCACCCATGGTCTGAAACTTTACACCAGCAATCGGGCCAGTCCCCGAAGCGACGGGCCCAGGGATTAGGCTTGGGGCTCACCCAGTGGGATTCATCTTCGAACCCCGTGGGAGTCCTGCTTGGCAAAGGGGAATACTGGCAGATAAAACATCTCCGATCGAGGTGCCTCACAGTGGTCTGGTCTTGTTTAAGTCATGGGGCTTCGGGACAAACTTCCATCCCCTCTCTATAATTTGCTTGCACAAGTATTTCTCTGGGTCAAAATATTTCATAGGATTCACAGAAACCTGGCTTGCCTTGCTCTGACTCGTTCAGCTAAAGCAAGAACAGAAAGAGGGTATAGAGAGGTAGGCAGCTTCTGAGAAGCCAGGCGGCCTGCCCTTCTGTTTTCTACCCTTCTGTCCTTCCTTCTAAACTTTTAGGGGAGTCACAGAATATTTTGAGAATATAACAGAAGGAGTGGACTAGTTCGGTTCCAAACCACCCCTCACCCCACTGCCACATATGCCCAAACATTTGCATAAGTTCAGAGGGCCACCGTCCCTGTGGATCTCATTCACGTGCCCTCCTTCGGTCCCTGAGTCCCAAGGTCAGGACTCTCCCCACAGATCCCAGTTCATGTGTAGAAGCTGTAGAAATTCATCTTTCTGGGTCCCATACTCTCACCAGAAAACTCCAACCTAGATCCTCACTCAGCAACCTGACAGCTTGTAGAACCTTTCCTCATCCTTCCCTACCCACCTCCCATTGAACACCAGCCATAAATGGAAACCCCAGAGGGGAGCAGGTCTTGAAATTCCAGTTTCTGTTTGAGAACCGGTACCCAGCGTCCCTGGAGCCATCTGGTCAGATCCATCCCTGAGACCAGGCAGATGGATGCTAATTCACCATGTTAACCCCTTTGGTGCCACTCCCCTAACCCGAGCCTTGGTGGGAAGCCTTGTCCCACAGCCTACCCCAGCCATAAAGGGGGCTGAGGTCTGGGCATTGTGGAAGCCGGCCAGCAGATTTAGCAATCGTGTTGCTCTTGGCATCCGCTCTGGGACCCTGCGTAGAGCTGCGTGCTGAAATGCAATCATGTGGGCAACGTCCCAACACCGGGATCCACCACCTGACATCTAGCTCGCTAATACCTTCGCATCACAACTCCAAGGGAGGCTGCAGAGGGAAACTAAGCTACTCAAACGAGGAGTCCTTTTTCTCACCAACTTCCTTCACAAACTACCGTCTTGCAGCAAGCAGCCTCGCTCTATGATGCTTCCCGCACTCAGGGCAAAACCCCAGGCAGACCCTGGCTTGGCCCCCGCAGACACCAACACTGCCTCTAAACCATCACTACCAACAACAAGGTTCAGACAGGAGTCTCCACCAGGACGCCTTCAGCCTACCAGCGGAGGCCCCCTTGGAGAGCAAAGGGAGAATAATACAGAGTCTTTTGATCAACAGGAACCCTAACCCCCACCCCCCACACACACCCAGAAGACCCTTGCAAATGAAAATCCCACCTTACCCTTCATTCCAAATTTGGACCGTCGACCATACTTGTTGATCATGATAAAGAGAACCACCAACAGGACGCAGGCAAAAGCAGCAAGTCCCACCGCTATGGACACCTGGGAGGGGCCGAGAGCAGATAGTTGAGAAGAGTCACCGAAAACCCTCATGCCAGGAAAGTCACACGCGCCCAAACGGAAGTAGTCCTATCGAGGGATCCGCTGCAGCCCATTCCAAATTTCACCACTGAGTCAATTCCTCAGCAGAAGTAACTCATGAGACCTTCAGAACATTACAAGAAAATTAATTCCCCAACCGGTTGAGAGAACGTTCCATGGCTCAGCCTCTCATCTGCGGGCCATCCATCATAAGCAACGCAAGGGCAGGCCTAAGATGTCTCTGTCTACTGTTTGTTGTTTTCATTAGCAAAAAAACAAAACAAAACAAAAAATCTCTGCGCCTTCACATTGACATTCTTTACAGAATATCATCCAGAAGGTTCTAGGAGATCTGTAGTCTTACCAAAAAAAAAACAAACACAAAAAAACCCTTTGCTCTCCTCCTCAGGGAAATCTCTGGCTGAGTCAGGCAGGGGAGGGTGGGGGGAGGGACTTGAAAAACCCACCCAAGGGGATGCTCTGAGCAACTCTGACTTTTGTAAAAGGCTTGTGTGGTTAGCATTCCCTTCGAATCAGGCCCAGCCAGGCTCCTAACACAATGGGAGTTTTCAAACGGTTCTCTTCCACACCCTAGGGCCTGGAGCAGATCCTCAAAGACTTCCTCAAACAATGACTTATTCTCATCAAACAAGGAAGGTTTCAACCACCTGAAAGGAGGTCATTCATCACAGTTTTTTTTTTTTCTGCTGCATATGTTAGGGTTCCAAGTAAGATAAAATTCCGGAAAGTTAGCTCCTAAAACAAAGTCAGTAAACACCTTCCCCTTGATTCGGGAATGACTTACCCCAAAAGTGTCTTCCTCCGGTTTGTGGGTCACAGTGATGGGTGTGGGACTCACGTCGTAAACTGAAATCCAACCAGACCAGGAGGGTGGTTAGCTTACCAGCCATGAGAGGCTCAGCCACAGTCCCCGCCTGACTCCCAGGCCCCCCTCAGGAGCTCCTGCTGGAGAACATACCCTGGCTTTGCAGGGGTCCCCAGAGACCAGGTCCCCAACCAGTCACCTGGCTGGTGCTGACAGGGGCTCCACAGGGAATAAAGGACCCTCCCTGCCAGCCCCCTGCCCCCATTCCAGAGCAAATAATGTCACCTGGGCAACGTAGGCCATGAACTACTAGATACAAAGGAGCAGGAAAAAATGTTTTGGGATCCAGACCAGGGTGTGGATTGGGCACAAGTTGCTGGTAACAACATCTGGTGTTGACATTCGGCTACCCTCTGCTCTAGGCCCTCCTTTGCCTGTCCCTGGCTCTCCCATGCCCTTCCTTTCTCCCTCTTTACTCCTCAGTGACACCAGGAGACCCACGGCCCCAGGAACAACCCACTGTCCACTCCCCTACCACAGACTTCAGAACACAGTGGCAGCTCAAGGTAAGCTACCAGTCCATCTGACCAGGAAACCCCACCTTTCCCAGCAAGGCCTGGATGGGAAGCCAGTGTGTCCTCCATCTCAAATCACCTCCTGGGCACGAAACGGCCCCAATTCAGAATTCCCACATTCTGAGAGACGACAAGTCTTCTCAAACCAAGGACAAATGAAGGAATCACAGATGATCTGCACATCCGTGCCCAACAGTAAGGGGTGTCCTCAACAGGACTTTCACTATCTCAGACCACACACAGGGCAGAAACGACAGGGCTGTTGCTGTTAGTTTCCCATGGGGGAGAAAGGGAAAAGCCATAAATACAGATTTCCCCACAGCCCTTGAGCAAAACACCAAATTTTGCAGGGGGATTGTCTAGTCCTAGCCCCAGATTGCTTTTAAACTGAGCCTCAATAATTCCACTTTAGGGGCGCCTGGGTGACTCAGTCAGTTAAGTGTCTGACTCTTGATCTCAGCTCAGGTCTCGATCTCAGGGTTGTGAGTTCAAGCCCCGTCCCGGGCTCCACACTGAGCATGGAGCCTACTTAAAAAAATAGTAATTCCACTTGAGGACACACAAGTCTATCAGGAGACCTTGTAAATCACTCACAAGGTGAGTCCCCAGCCAGATTCTGGGGCCCTCAGAGCAGGTGAGAAACACAGGCTTAGAGGCTCCCCCTTCTCTCCACAAGGACAACTGAGATGACCACCGGGTCTACCTGGGCATGGGAAACCCCATGTCCTTCCTGACACCACCCCTTCCCATCCAGGCAGGGAGACCCACAACATGCTCAGACCTTAGGGAACGCCCTGGGGGAAACTGAGGCGTGGAGCCCAAGAGGTGTGCAAATGGAACTACCCAAGAAGTATTTCTACTCTCCAGTTCCCCTTCACAGTTCCCTCAGACGCTCTCAGCTACCAGGGGTCTGGGGCTGGCCGTGGAATGGGAAAGAGGGCTATGTGGAGTCAGTAATGACCTAGAGTATCAGAATAAAACAGTTTCAAAGCAAAAGGTAAAGCAGACTTACTAGAGACAAAGTTATCCGTGCTCTCTGCAAAAAAGACAAAGAGATAATTAACAAGTGTCGTAAAAACCAGAACAGATGAGCTGTATCTTTCTCACAGGTACGACCTCTCCCACTCACCATGAATGCCCCGTTACTGGCAACTGAAAACTAAAATCCTTGACATATCACCCCTCCCCCATGCTACACTACCCTTCCAGGGGGTGGTCTTCCAAGTGGAGAAGGAATGAGAGATAAAGCTCCTGGTTCTGAGGGAGGTGGCCCAGCCTCCCTGGGTCTATGAGATGGAAAATTACATCTAGAACAATTCTCACCCACAGTCCTCTCCACTTCAGGTACCCAGAGTGCTGGGGATGCTGGTGGTACCTCAAAGCCAAGAAGAAATGCTGCAGGGTGGACCTTTCTTGAAAATGCCAGCTATGATCCCAAGACAGAACTCCTCAAATTGATATGTAGAGTTTATTCTAGCAGATGCCTGAGATGTTCCTGGGAATCCCTCTATGAACCTGCCCATCCCCCAAATGAAAATGTGCTATTGGATCTTTGCCTCCAGAAATGGCTCAGCTAATGGTGAAAGTTCATCATTATTAGACATTGTTTATAAGCCAGGGGCTGGGCTCAATGCTTTATGTAACACATCACTTGATCCTTATAACCATCCGAGGAGTTGGAGAGCATTATCCCCACTTGACAGAAATAGAAACAGGCTTCTAGAGATTGATTAGCTGAATCTCAACGAGGGAAGACATTGAGCTGGATTCAAATCCAAGTCTGGGCTCTTAACCACTCCATGAGAGATTCTCTAATTCTAGCACGCAATAGAATCATCTAGAGGGTGATCACTACCGTTCTCCAATAAAAGGAATGAGGGCTCCTTGGGAAAGTGAATAATTTCAGGCCTGGGGCAGAGAAAGTACAAGATGTGTCTGGAACATTGTGTGGTACTAGAAAGTAAGAGAGGGCCCCAAATTAACGGGAGCATGGGAAAAGAACAGAGGAGCCAAAGTGAAGGAGCTTCCAATGACCAAATTTGGGACAATTTAAGCAACAAAATAAATAAAGACAGCCATGGATTGTTACAGGCTGAATTATACCTGCCCAAAATTCATATGGTGAAGCCCTAATCTCCAGTACTCCAGAATAGGACTGTATTGGGAGACAGGGTCTTTAAAGTGGTAATTAAGTTAAAATAAACTAATTAGGGTGGACACGAATCCAATATGGCCGGTTTCCTTGTAAGAGGAGGCAATTAGAACGCAGACACACAAGGAAGACCACGTGCAGACACAGAAAGAAGACAGTCACCTGCAAGCCAAGGAGAGAGGTCTCAGAAGGAACCAGCCCTGCTGACACCCTGATCAGACTTCCAACCTCCAGGACTGCGAGAAAAATAAATGTCTCTTGTTTAAGCCACCAAGTCTGTGGTACTCTCTAATGGCAGCTGGAGCCAACTACATGGATTATAAGTCATAGCACAAAATAAACATTCCTGAGTCCATACCAATGTAAATAAGCAATTGAATAAACAAACAGGGGAAGAAGAGAACACTCGTCCTTACAGTAGAATTCCACCTAACAAATGTAGAAGGAATGATGGAAAGAGGAAAATCACCATTGACAAATACCTCGGTAATAACTGTTTCGGGCAAGAATCCTCAATGAATGCTAAAATTAATGTGTGAAAGCATGATAAGACACAAGACATTTAAAGTATCGAAACATTATACTCATTAGGTACAAAGGGAAAAAAAAAATCACCTCGCAGTGGAGAACCCTGGCAGATACCATGGCAACCTGGTGACAGAGTTAATTCACATCACCAGGAACTAGAGGTGTAGACACCATGTACCCCTGCTGTAATGTCCTGAGAGAGCCCAGCATCATTTCTGTGCTGTTCATGCCAAAAATGTGTAACGGGCATTTAACTGTGAGGCAAAAGTGGACAACCGCACATTGGGGGAAGTCTACAATGTAACTAGTGAGTATCCTTCAAGAATGTCCAGCTTGGGGCGCCTGGGTGGCTCAGTCGGTTGAGCGTCTGACTCTTGATTTCAGCTCAGGTCGTGATCTCAGGGTCATGGGGTCGAGGCCCACGTCGGGCTCCGCACTCAGCGGGGAGTCTGCCTGGGATTCTCTCTCTCCCTCTGCCCCTCACCCCATTCACATGCTCTCGCTCTCTCTCTCAAATAAATAAAACTTAAAAAAAAAAAATTATCCAGCTCATGAAAGACAAAGACAGACTGAGGAACCGTCCCAGGCTGAAAGAGAATAAGGTGACAGAGCATCTAAATGCAGTGTATGACCCTGCATTGGGTCCTAGAGAAGAGAGGACAGCAGTGGACAAAAGACAGGTCTGTAGATTCGATAACAGTGTCAGTGTTAATATCCTGCTTTTGCACATCGGACTGTGCTTACGTAAGATGATACCATTTGGGGAAGCTGGGTGAAGGGTATAAGGAAGTTCTTTGTATTATTTTATTACTTTTGAGGGGTAAATCTTTTTTTAAAGAATTTTTATTTATTTATTTGAGAGAGAGAGCAGAGTGAGAGAGGGAACACGAGCAGGGAGGAGGGGCAGAGGGAGACGGAGAAGCAGGCTCCCACTGAGCCCAGGATCCCGGGATCATGAGCCAAGCCAAAGGCAGATGCTTCACTGAATGAGACACCTAGGTGCCCCCAGGGGGTAAATCTTAAAACTATTTCAAAATGATGATTGTTAAAAAAATCTTAAAACTTTTTTCTAAAAAAATTTTTTTTTTCCATATACATGGATTATTAGTCCTCACCCCAGAGTTTCCGAGTCAGGAGGTCTGGGGAAGGTCTTGGGAATTTGCATTTCTACCAAGATTTCAGGTGATGCTGGAGCTGCTGGTCCCTTTGAGAACCACTGCATTATGTTACACCTACTGTGGCCACAAGCCTACTATACCCTGAAAAATAAGAACAGTTCATTCATCCATCCATCCATCCATCCATCCATCCATCCATCCATCCATCCATCCATCCCTCAGTCTTCAGGTCGTTGGCTAAGTTCTCACAGTCATTGTAATTATGGCTCTATTTAATATGCACGAGCAAATATTCTTCTCTAACCACCTGTGGGGCAAGTGATGCTTTCTGTGAAGGAGTCTAGAGAAAATCCTGTTTACACTAAATGCACCGTTAATAGCTGGCTTGTGTGTTGTCCATTTTGTGTCATCTGGGGAAGACCAACAGAGCTTTCTCCAAACCCCTGAGCCTGCCCTTCATGCTACCACCCTCTTGTAAACCGCAGGTACCAAGTGCCTGATGTGTGGAGAGGATCGAGGAGAGAGGGCCCTAGCCTTGGCTTCAGAGCCTGAGGAAAGACAGGTGCCAGATCAATTCACAGTTAACGCTGATTTGCATATTTCCCATAAGGCTCCTGTTTATTAGAGAACACTCTCACATCAGGCAAATGTTTTGGCCGAGTCTATGAACCCTGTAATCTCCCAATCAGCCTATGTGCTTAGCTCCCTTGCTGGAGCCTGGGGACACTCATCCATCCGGGAGGCATATGAGCCTTGGAACACGGAGACCTCCTGGGTCCCCTCTAACCAGTGGGGGAGCTCAGAATTTTGCACTGGAAGAGGATGGTACCCAGGAATGCTCCTCACCTCCTACCCACCAGCAGCTGGGAAGGACAATGGGATCCATATGCCAAGGTGCTGTCTGAATACGAACGGGGTGGGCCTGACTGCATGCCACCCCAGTCCCAGACCGCATGTCCTCTGGTCCCAAAACTCATCAAGAAGGGCCTTATGGGAAAAGCCAGTGGGGTCCAGAGAAGGGAGAAGTGAGGCAGCAGCGTGTGTCCAGAAAAAGAGGTGCACTGAGACGTGCGGTTGAGAGTAGATGTTCCGGGTTTAGGTGTGAGAAGGCAGCGGGGAGGCTGAGCCAAGGCATCGCTCACACCGCCCATCCTGCCCAGAAGCCTGGGACCACATTCTAGCTCCACCAGTTCCTTAGGGCAAGGAAACCAGCCTTGACCGAGGCTGAGGGCGCTGGGGCAGTGATTTATCCCAATGTTTGTACCCAGCGTCCTGAGGGAATTCTGGTTTCTGCTGTTGTAAAAATCTCCATGAAATAACTGGACTTCCTGGCCAAGTGAAAAATGAGAATTTAAGAGGTACGGCAGCTCACTTATTCCTAAATATTTCGTCAAGTAGTCTCAGGTATTTGTTGCACCTGCGCAGGAAAACACACACACACACACACACACACACACACACACACACACACACCCTTGGCAACATGGCTCCTTCTATCACATCATCATCTAAGGAACTTCACATTCTCTCCCAGACCACAACCTTCTAGCTACCACCTCCCACCCTGCCGTCACCCCCCCAGCCTTTCCAGTTCCTCCCCTCCTGACACATGAATCCCTGATGCCTCGTGGCTTCCCACTCTTATGCCCAGACCCCTCCGGCAGCCCAAGTTCCTGGAACACCAAAGAGTGATTTAGCTCCACACTTCTAGAACCAACCTCCCTAACCAATCCTTGCAGGGACCTCCTTCACCAAGGTTGGATGCCATGCTGAATGTTCTAGCCCTTCTCTGGAAATGTAGAAGGAAATCCAACATGTGTATAGCATGTGTAATTTAAAAAAACAAACAACAACAACCAAAAAAGACTTTTCCAGAACATTTTCATTTTAACGTCCTACTCGGAGAAAATCCTTACTGATGGAAGCCTCTACATTTCCAGATTGCTCCATTAAATACATTCATTCCAGATTGCTCCATTAAATATATTCATTCCAATCAAATCTCTCCCAGGGGTCTCAGGACCATGAAGAATCAGAAAAGGAGACGGTTCCCTTCAGATCTTGTTCTGCCCCCAAACAGATCCCCTTTCAGTCACCCCTGGGTGTGCTTCTCAAAAAAATAAAAACAAACAGTAACTCTGTGCTTACTCTGTGCCAAGCATTGTCGTAAGCACTTTCAGTGGGTGAATCCACTGTGTGTGAACCAATCTTCATGGCCTTCGAGGTAGAAGCACAGGGCTGAGTAACATGCCTGAGATGACAAAGCTGAGGAGCGATTTAGAGAGACTCTGAACCCTGGCAGTGTGGTTGGCTCCACAGGCCTACAGATGACATTGCCCAGAGCCTATCTGTTAGAACTGACGAGCTTGACCAGAGAATGCTGCTTCTAGAACTCCTACGTTTATTGCATCCCTCTGTCCCAAAAATCCTAGCAGTAGCTGACAGCTGGTGCGCCTTTCCTCTCTCTCAACACAGAGCTGAACCCTTAGCATACTTCACTTAAATCCTCATGGCAGCTTAGGGAGGGAGCTTTTGTTCTCGCTCCCATTCCACAGATGGCAAAGTAGAGGCAGAGTAGAGATGGTCCTTCACTGCATGCCAGCCGCGTACCACGCACCAACCCCAGACCCACCTGTCCGGTTGGGTCATAGATGGGATTTGCACCTCGATCTGCCTGATTTCAGAACCCTCGCTCTTAACCTCTACGCTCTGCTCGCCTGGGAGCGAGAGAGGAGTCGCTAGGATAAATATGATGTCGCAACATGCTCAGGGCAAAAGAGAAGCGCGGGAATCCACAGACAGCCTTGCATCCAGAGCTCGGCAGGGATGAGGTTTATTGTCCGAACCTCCAGATAATTTACTTTCCCGAACATTTAGACGTTTTGTCACTTGACACGACTGGCCCATCGTTTCCCTGTCGCTGCCTTTTCATCACCCACTGAGTCCTTCAGGTTCATAAAACAAGCAAAACTTCGCACAGGGCGGCCCAGGCGGGGTGCCCCTGGGTCTGAGGAAGATGCCTTGGGGTGTGTGGTTTCCCTTAGAGCTCCCCTGTGACTCTCTCCTGCCTCCCACCTCCTGGGGCCAGAGCTCACCAAACAGCATGGCAGCTGATTGTTCAAACAGGGTTTCTGACTCAGCAGGTCCAGGTGGGGCTGGAGAATCTGAGTTCTAACACACGCCCAGGTGATGGTGATGCTGCTGGTCCGGGGACCCCTCTTTAAGAACCACTGGCCTAGAGCTGCTATGTCTCTTGGGGACAAAAAGGGTGTCTGTATGGCTGGGAGGATACAGAGAACTGCTCTCAGGACAGCCTCTGAGGGGAGGAGCCCAGAGTGGATCACCCTCCCTCCAGAGCATTCCAGGGCTCCCCACTCTCTCCAGGCCCCAGCAGCTTCCCTTTGGAAACAAGCATTGCTTTAGGGGACCTCTCTAACCCTTCACACCAGCAAGGCCTGTGTGGCCCAGGAGTGCAAAGAATCTCTGCATCTAAATCTTCTCCTTCCACAGAGTGGCAGGGACTCTTCGAGCTCCCAGAGCAGAGATGGGTGAGGCTCACAGTGGGAAAAGCCCTGAGGCCTTCTACTGGGCGTGCTGGTGATGATGCTGGAAATGCTGGACCAAATGGGACCGCCAAGGTCTTAAACACCAGCACCTTCTGGACCCTCTCCTGAGCGACGGCGCAGCACCATTCTCCCCTGGACCTCAGTGGCAGGAATTTGGCTTCCCATGTAGCTTTCCCTCTCGGAGCTTCTAGGAGGAATTTCCTTGCACTGAGATAAATAAGGCCTCCTGGAGCTGCAACCTGGTACATGTGAGCTGTGAAGTCACCTTCACATAAGTGGATGGGGCACCGTGCTGTCTGTTGCTGCCCCCCTTTTCTGTGTGTGTGTGTGTGTGTGATCTGTCTTCTCATTCCCCTTTATTTATCTCGCTAGAACCCCTGAGTCCTGGAGATTGAAGGTCATCCAGCCTGTTCCCAGCAGAAATCACCAAGGTCATCAACAATGCTCGGTTTCATTGACACAACGCCTTCAACTGCTGAACCCACCAAGAGAAGGTACAACCACGTACAGTAAACTCTTTGAGGGTTTTCTTCTCCTGCAACTTAGGAAGGTGTTGGAAATACTGTAGCCCAGACAGAGTCAAACAAAGAGTCAAACAAAGTTCTTTCATTCCTTCAGTTACTACCCCTGGCCCGCTCGACGTTAGCGCCCCCGCAGTCTGAGGGCATCAAATACTCCCCCCCTCCCCCAAGCGCACCACAGAACAAGAGAGCAAGGTCAGAGCTGGAAGCCTACCCCCTCGCCAAGCCTTGCTACCAACCAGCAAGTAGAAGGAGGTTCAGTTCACACGTCTGTTACATATGGGGTTGAACTAGAGAGACCCCTGCAATGGAAGGTCATTGAACCATCGTTATAAGTCAAAGCCTGCACGCTTTGTAGACCAGAAGTCCCGAGTCTTAAAGGAGCAGTGTCATCATGCCCATTGCACAGATGAGCGAAACTGAGGCTCAGACAAAAGCAAACTATCGTGCCCGGAGTTTCACAACAACTAAAGGACTGGGTCAAGATTCTGTCTTTCTCCTCCAGCTCTCAGGCCCTTCCTCTACCAGAACAGGGCACGTCCCTGTGTGCACAACTGCGCGTTTCGGAGGGGGTCTTGGTTTTCACTCTGACAGCCGTGGAAAAACGGAGCCTTTCTCTGGTTTACGCAAAATGCTGGCGGGAGCTGACTCTGCCGCAGGCTGGGTTCGGTTTGCCCGAGACAACAGCACGAGGTCAAGGCCCGCCGCATCCTCTGGCCGGCTACCGCGCCCACCCCGCCCCCTCCCGGAAGGAGTCGGCGCCGTCAGGCTGCGGGACCCTCACCCGGGAAGGGCTCCTTGAGGAAGTGGCCGTTGATGGTCTGGTTGGCTGTGCCCAGCGGGTTTTTGGCAATGAGCGTGTAGTTGCCGTTGTTGTAGTGGGTGGGCTTGTTGAAGAGCAGGCAGCCCTCGGACAGCTCGCCCTCCTGGTAGTACTCCACGTGGGTGATCTTGGACTCCTGCAGCGGCTGTCCGTTGTGCAGCCAGTGCAGTGTGGGCGGAGGGTTGCCACGCACCACGAACTCGATGCAGTGCTCCAGGCGCAGCTCCGGCTCCTCCAGGCTCACCACGCGCGGAGGGTCTGCGGGGGCACGGGCCGGCTGACTCCCAGCACGCAGAGCCTCTTGCGCCCCAGAGCAGCCCGCCCGACACTAGACGGGGGGGCTCCCAGTTCTTCCCCCATCCAGCTCGGAGAGGACCGAGGGCATCAGAGGCTCCCCCGCCACCTTCCCAAGAGTGGGCAAGAGAGGGCTGTCTTCACCCCCGCTTCCCGGGGTCCACCACAACTGGAGGGCCCCTTCCCGTGACCTGCCAGGAGGCGAAGGGAAGGCAGACGGGGGCCAGCGTGGGGGTATCGTGAAGACAGAGATGAGTTGGAGGCACCCCATCTTCTGAGGGACGGGGATTAACGGGGTTACCAGCCAAGGACTGGCTTGCTCGGTCCTGCCCTCCCAGCACCCCTGCTTCCCTCCCTCCGCCCCGCACGACCAGCCCCTTCGCTACGCGGCCCCCCTCCATGATGGCAGCTACTCACAGTGCACGGTGAGGGCCACACTGGCATTGCTCATGCCCACCACGTTCTCCGCAATGCATGTCAGGGTGAAGCCGTTGTCCTCGCTTGTCACATTGACCAGGGTCAGGTTGATGGCATGTACGTTGGTCCAGTTCAGATTTGTCTAAAACCCCAATAAAAAAAAACCAACAATCAGTTTCTAGAAGGTGGTTCCTCACCCACCTCCCAGACACCTTCAGGGATCAAGAAGAAAACTGTGCAGGAAGCGAAGGAGGCCTTTCTTCCTCTCATGCACATGGACCAGGCACCAGGCTCTCCACAGTCAAGAGCTCAGGAAATCCTCACATTTACCCGATGGGGTGAATGGTAGCATTAGACCCGTTTTACAGATGAGAAAACTAAGGTACAGAGAAGTTTATTAGCATGCTGAAGGTCAGGTTGGCTAGAAAAGATTGCAGCTGGATGAGAACCAAGTATGCACAGACTTGCCCTCTTCTTCCTTCTCCTCACATCTCTTGCTTCTGAGTCATAATTCAGCTCATTTAGACTAAGAGGTCAACGCTCCCCAGCCTCCTGATGGGGCTGGAGCCTAGGGCCCCTACCTGGTGGGTGTTGATGGACTGCAGTCCAGTGACTATCCAGTCTACATCGGGCAGAGGTGATCCAGAGCCATTGCACGTGATGACAGCGTTGTCACCCTCTCGAACGGTCAGGTTCACGTGGCTCACACTGATCTCTGGAAGGTCTGGGAGGGAGGACAGGATGAGTGAAAAGATAAACCAACACTTAATACCAAAACTTTGTCCCTGGGGTCGATGGTGGCACTTCTCAACACAACCTGCTTGTCAAGCTCTTGGAAGGCCCCCAAGTCCCAGAATCTTCCCAGCACCTCCCCGCCAACGCCAGAGCTCAGAATTTCAGCTCAGCTGGGCTCTCCCACAAGGCAGGCAGTGGGTGCGGGGGGGGCAGGTGCTCAAAGAATGTAGCTCCAGCAACGAGGTCAACTGGCATCTTCCACTTTGGGCACTGGCTCTCAAACTCTGGTCTGCTTCAGGCTCCCATGAGGAGTTTGCTAGAAATTCAGATTTCTGAGGCCCATTCTGAGACATTCTGGGATCTCATTAAGTCCGTTGGGCCCGGGAATCTGCTTTTCTACAAGTACCTTAGATGCTCCTGATACAGAAGGTCCAGAGCCCACGCTTTGAGATAGACTCCTTCGGATGTGGTTGACAAGTAACTCACAGAGACAAAGGACTCCGGTCCATTGAGAAGGGGCCCACTTAATCCCTGTCTTCATTCCAGGCTCACGGAGGGGCAGGAATGACCGAGGAGGTCAACGGTAAGCCAGATCTGCACCCAATGCAGAGTTCAAGGCCGGGGGTGTGTGTAGGGGTGGGGACCAGAGGGCCCTGGCTTCCCAGGCTCCTGCACAGGGGCTGAGGGATCTCTCCCCGGAGCCTGCCGGGGCCAGGCAGCTCACTCACCACACTGGCTGATGTTCATGCGGAACAGGGGCAGTTGGGAGCCGTCGGCACTGATACAGTAGAGGTGTTGGCTGTTGAGCTTGGCTTCCCCCTGCTCCTGCCACAGCTGCATCCAGCGGATGTCACAGCTGCAGTTGAAGAAGTTCTGCTCCAATCTCCTGTGGGCAAGGAGATGGGGGGAGGGACCTCCTGAACCAAAGACGGCCCAGCTCCCTCCCACGGCTGGGAGGGACGGCCCCACCTGCTCTTCAGGGATTAGGGAGAGAAGGGGTTTAGCAAGGTCTCGAAATAAATGAAAAAATACTTCTAAGTGCAGGAAGTCATTTAGTTTTTGCACTAATACACTCATTTAAAAAAAAAAAAAAAAAAGAAATCCACTCCATTTAATTCAATGAGACCCTTTTAAATACATCAGCTTGAGATGCTCCTCTTCTCAAAACCCTCCAGTGGCTTCCCATCTCATTGAACGTCAAGGTCAAAGGCCTACAGGCTCTGCACTGCTCTCCATCACCTCTCTGACCTCATCTCCTACCTCACACCCCCTTCCTCTGCTTCAGCCACACTGACCTTGCCGTCCGTCAAGTTCACTAGCATGACCAGCCTGCTCCTGCCTCAGGGCCTTTGCACTTGTTGTCCCTTCTGCCTGCACAGTTCTTACCCATAACATACCCGCTAGATTGGCTATCTCATTTTCTTAAAGAATCATATGGCCATCTCCAACCACTGCTCTAAGTAAGCTACCAGCAAACCCTACCTTAGTGCTGCCCAGTCCCCGCCCTATTATTTTCTTCCCTCGAGTATTTGTCACTGCCCAGCATCACTTTAAAAATTCATTTGCTTGTTTATTATCTGTCTCCTCAAATAAAAATTAAGTTCCTTTTAGCTCAGAGAAATTGCCTGTTTGGTTCACGGCTACATCGCCAGGATCTACAACTGAGCCTGAACATAAATACCTGTTGAATGAATAAAAGGAGGGAATGGAGGGAGGGCAGGAGGAAGGAAAGAGTTACTCTCCCTGCAGAGTAGGTGCTTAGTGATTTCCAAGATCTGCTCAAAGCCCATCCTGGGACCAGTTTATTCTTCATAAATTCAACAAAATCCTACCAAGCACCTGTTCCATGTCTGGCTATGAGCTGAGTGCTGTTAATACAGAAGTGAATGAGTCTCTGTTCTCCAGGAGCACTCAATTTGGTGAAGAAGAGCATCTGATGGAGAAAGCATCAAGTTCAAGGCCTTCCTTCTCCACTGACTTTCCTTGTGACTGAGAGCAAGTCCCTGCCCTTCTAAATGGGCTTATCCCATTAGGGGGACAATGAATGGCATTCACTGATGTAAGACTCTTCAAGTAAAGGGCACCCAATAAATCTAAATTCCTGGATCAGTAGGAGGAACATGGTTCTCTTGCTGGACCAGAAAAGAGACGAATCTCTTGGTGCCCAGCAGGAGGGGCACTAAGGCCCAGGATATTCTGGACAAGGGATAGAATTCCGAAGCAGTTAGGCATACATCAGAACTGATCAGCTTTCAGGAAAAAGTGAGAGCCTGGAGGAAGAATCAGTGTGTCCCAGCCAGTGGGACACCACAGGTAGAAGGTGCCAACACCTTTGCATGATACCCCCTCGGTCTAAAAGTAGGCTGGCTTTTCCCTGCACTCTTTCAGAAAAGGAGAAGAGACCTAGCTTTCACGGAGCATCTGCTTCCCACAGCCGCCCTAGGAGACAGCCAGCACTGTCCCTGTCCAGAAGAGGGACCCCCCCTTGTATGTTCGGAGGGGTTAAGTCACGTGCTCAAAGTCCCTGGGCTTGGGGGTGCGACAAAGCAGGGCTGCAAGCCTCAGCCTGCTGGACTCCAGACCCCACACGCTCTCCACCCTGTCTATCCCATGCAAGGCACTGCTGGGTGTGAGGAGAGATGCAGAGGAGTCAGCACGACCCCCAACTCTGCGGCTCCTGGGCAGAGACCAGGGGAAGAGTTCATGGCGACGCTGGAGGCTGAGATAGGAAAACAGGAAAGAAAAGCTGTGCTGTGGCACAGAGTCCATGTTGAGGAGCGCTGGGAAATACAGCTGGAAGGGAGAGTGGAAGCCAGATGGTGAGGGACGTTCACGGCCACATCAAACATCAACAAGCTTGGAATTCATGCAGGGGGCAATGGGAGCCAGTGAGGCCCTTGCAGCTCACAATGATGTGAGCGAAGCAGGTCTGTAAGAAGAGTTATCCAACAGTATGGTGCATGAAGTGTGTGCATTTCTCAAAGCACCCAGGCGAAGGGATGAATGGGGGATGAAACCCTTGACTCGCACGCCTTGACCAGACCGGGTGCCTGCCACGGGTCTACATGCACCCAGACGGGGCGTCTTCCCTCATTCACGCACGGGTAGTGGAGGTCGGCAGCCTCAAGGTCACTGATCTCGAGCTTTCTGGTCTCAGAACTCTTTTTTACTCTTAAAAATTACTGGGGGGGCGCCTGGGTGGCTCAGTCGGTTAAGCAACTGCCTTCGGCTCAGGTCATGATCCTGGAGTCCCGGGATCGAGTCCCGCGTCGGGCTCCCTGCTCGGCGGGGAGTCTGCTTCTCCCTCTGTTCCTCCCCCTCTCATGCTCTCTGTCTCCCATTCTCTCTCTCAGATAAATAAATAAAAAATCTTTAAAAAAAAAAAAATTACTAGGGGCCTCAAAGAGCGTTTGTGTATGTAGATTACACCTACCCCTCTTTACCATTTTGGAATTCAAAGAGAAAATTTTAAAACACAACACCACATCAGCACAATGTCCCATTCGTCACCAGAGTGACGGTGTTATCACAAGTCAAGCGGCCTCTGGAAAACTCCACTACACGCCTTCGGGGGAATGGGAGTGAAAAGGGCAAGTAATGTCTCAGATTCTACCTCGTGGTCTCCCCAGTAGGGTCTTGGGGACCCCACGGAACCCTGGACCCCCACTTGAGAACTGCTGACACATTAATAAGGGTCTAGAGGAGACTGGTAAAAGCAGGGGAGAGGGAAGGAAAGATGGAACAGACGTGGTAAAGAAGACAAGGTGGTATTTGGGGCTTTGTTGGAGGCGAAAGGGAAGACTGGAGGATGACACCGAGGTTTTAAGCTCCAGGAGACTGGAAATCAATGGAGGGGAGACGTGTCTTTAGCGGAAAACAGAAGAGAAGGAACCAATGGAAAGGAAGAGGCTCAGTGTATGAGGAATCGGGATGAGGTCCTAGAGGAGGAAGGTGAAGCGTGAGGCCCGGAAGTCTTGGAGGCGTCTGCCCCAGGCAGGAAGGCAAGATGGCACCATGGCTGAGACAATGGACAGAGAGGAGAGAAAACAAGCAGGCAGGAGAAAGTGAGAGCGAAGAAATAAAAATGGAATGACATTTGCGTCGCACCTACCACATACCCAACACCATGTGGAATGCCCTCCACGCACCACCCCATTGAACCCTCCCATCGGAGTAAGTGGGGGAGGCGGCTGATGGCTTCCTCGGGAAAAGCAGAAGGTCAAACTAGGCTGCCCAGTGTGTGGAGGACAGGAAGGCCTGAGGACGTGGATCTGTGCTTGCATTCACATCACAGGGCGGCAAGGGGAGGCCGGGCAGCCCCGCTGGAAAGATACTGAGGGTCCAGATGTTTGCATATATGCAAACTGAACCAGGTCAGCCGGGGTTTTCCCACATGCTCGCTTGACAAATGTGGTCATTCGTTATGAAGTAGTTGTAAAAATACAAATTATCCACCTCAGTGGAAAAGATCAGCAAGTGAGGGGCTGGGCTGGTCTGCTCCATGTGCTTTATTGAGTCCTGCCTGCCCGAAGCCCCACACAGCTGTGTCCCCCGACTTCTTGGTGGCCCCTGCAGGGCTGAAAGTGCCAAAGCGTGCTGAGGCTGGTGGGAGAATCAGGTGGGATGACACGTCTAGACACAAGCACATTAACGGCTTTTTGTTCCCTTCCATCCTTTTCCCCTAGGACTTGGTCCCGTAGAAGGGATGCCCCACGAGACCCGGCCCTTCCTCCACACCACAGTCTCCTGAAAACCGCACAGAAACCTTAGCTTTTCCCCTCTCCCTTGGGACTTTCCTCCTAGATGGCAAGACGCACACACACAACAGAAAGCATGCTGAGTCTGAAGACGGGTGCCCTGGGCATCCCACCGAGCAGACCTACCGTAGCCTTCACATCCTGACGAGAGAGGGTTCAGGAAGGTGGGCCAGAAGCAGAGAAGGGCAGCCCTCAGTCTACATGATGCCACCTGTTCTTCCAGCAAGTCAGGTGTCTCGAAGAGGGGCTTTCGGCCAGGGCTCCGGGCGCTGTGTCGAGGAGCCTGAAGTCAGGCTTCCCTGCCCCATCAATAATGCAGGCGGCCCCATGAATAATACAGCAGCAGCTGCTTCAGGGCAGAGCTTAACTCACACCCAGCCCTTGCCCCAGCATGGCCTGGGGCCTAATCGCAGGGCCCTAGGGGCGTCCCACAGATTAACTCAGCCCCATCCAGGCACACACAGACGCCTCGCTGCACGGCCAAGGCCATGGCAGTGTATGTAGAAAACACTGGTTCCCCTCCAGACATCCTCTGGCTTCCTTCTCCCCTCCACAGCACTGCCGCTGCCATGGCAATCCTGGGGCTGGCCGCAGAAAATGGGGAAGGGGTGTAGATCTACGGTCAACCAGGGAAGCCTGTCCAGAGGTCCAAGTGATGATCGCCACTGGCCTCCCAGAGAAAATAACACAATGGCAGAAGAAGTGCACAAACAACAGGTTTGAGTGGAGCCAGCGATCACACCGGGCAAAGCTAGTGCACTGAATTGTGTCTCCCCCGAAAGATCTGGGCAAGTCCTCACCCCCAAGACGTGCGAATGTGGCCTTACTTAGAAATAGTCTTCGGGGCGCCTGGGTGGCTCAGTTGGTTAAGCGACTGCCTTCGGCTCAGGTCATGATCCTGGAGTCCCGGGATCGAGTCCCGCATCGGGCTCCCTGCTCGGCAGGGGGTCTGCTTCTCCCTCTGACCCTCCTCCCTCTCATGCTCTCTGTCTCTCATTCTCTCTCTCGCAAATAAATAAAATCTTAAAAAAAAAAAAAGAAATAGTCTTCTGTGGATGTGATCAAATGAAGGATCACGGGATGATCATGGGACAAGATCATTCTGGATTTAGGGTGGGCCCCAGATCCAATGACAGGTGTCCTTATAAGAGAGAGGAGGGGAGAAGCCAAAGACACAGAGACGGGGAGCACAGCTATGTGAAGACAGAGGCAGAGATGGGGGTGGCATTGACCCAAGCCAAGGACACCAGGGGCCACCAGAAGCCAGAAAGGGTAAGCAAAGATTCTTCCTGAGAGCCTCCTGAAGGGAGAATAGCCCTGTGACACCTTAGTTTTGGCCTTCTGACCTCCAGAAGAGTAGAGAGTCACTCTCTATGGTTCGAAGCCTCCAAATTTGTCGTGATTTGTCAAGGCAACCCTAGGAAGCTAATATGGCCAGTAACTTCTTCCCCAAGGTTCTGCTTTAACTTCTGTAAAATGGGGGTAATTGCGCTCGACCCTCTTCCCGAACAAAGTTAATATGAGGATTAGCGATAATACATGATAACATGCTTTGTGAATTGAAAGGGGCTATAAAGAGACCAGAAATTATTATTATAGTAACACTATTATTAACACGATCGTTCAGGGACTTCTCTGAGAGCCGTGGAAAGCGGTCATGGCCAAGACTGGGAGAAAAGAAAGTGCCAGGATCAGCCCAAACCCATCCCCGATACCAAGTTAATATTTTACCAAGTTGATTAAATCTGCAAATTATACCAGAGGTAATTATCACTTTGCTTTAAGAAAATGAAATATTCCAATCTGTTTTAATCATGTCTGCTCTGTGCGTGCAGGGTATTAAGAGAAGCCTGTTCAAGATACACCAATGGTCCTTAGGGTATTTCTGGAAGGTTTCTGCATTGTGGGTTTATATCCTCTGGTGCCTCTTGCCTTTGCAAATTACATCATGGGATTCAGAACCCAAGCTTCTTTTCTTTCTAATTCATTCTTTATCTCTAAGACAATCTCTTTGATTCCTGCTCTGATTTCTGGACAGACAGTTCCAGTTTTCTCTGTAAGGAAAAAAAAAAAAAAAACAAAAAACACCATCTTGCTATAACCAGAAACCTCTGAGAGCAACCGTGCAATGCCAACTCAAATTTCTGCAAAATCCTGCCACTGATACAGTGCGAAGTACTCCAAAAGGAGTCCTGAAGGATGCTTCCAGTTCTCTCAATAAGAGAAACACAGCCTGGACTGGTGAGGGGCAATGGGCCAGGTGTTCAGCCAAGACCTTATCTTTCATCTGACAAACGGAAGTGAGAAATGAGTAAGGGAAGCCTCCAGCACATGGCCAGGGCTCTGAGATGCTAACTTGTCTGGGTTTTTTTTTTTCCTCAGTGATTCTCCTCAGGAAGCCACCATTATGAGAGTGGTTTCCAGAAGGAGACAGCAAGTATTGGGGGGCAGAGGAAGTTTGCTGAGTTGTTTAAGGAAAGAGCACTGGTCTTTGGAAACAGCAGACCTGGATGGTAGTAATGCTAATTATCATAATATGAATTCCCATTACCATTGATAAGCTCTGTGATCTTGGACCAGTTGTTTAACTTGGGCAAGCCTCAATCCCTCATTCGTAAAACTGATTATAATGATACCTCCCATGGGACTTTGTTCATAATAGGTGCTCAATATACGGCTCTTTTGTCTCCATCTCTACTATTGAGAAGGTCATAGATACTCAGCCTTTCCGATGGAGAATCCCAACAGCATCCGTTCTTGTATCAAGGATCCTCCAGGGGGAGGGTCTGGTTGGGGTAGACAGAATGAAATGTGCTGAGAAATCACAGAAGACCCTAGCTTGCCCCTTCTATTCCTGCAGAAGGTGGCTCAAAGCCTCACACTCTGGCTTTGTGATCTTCTGGCCATCACGGCACAGAAAGCCATCTCCCCCTGACCTCTCTCCTCCAGGGCCAAGATTCTTTCTTCCTGGAAATACCCAACCCATCCCCATACCCCAGCCCACAGGCTCCATTGGGCAGACCCTGGCAGTCTAGAAGGCTCGTGGCAGATGGCGCTATGTGGACTAATCAGGAAGCCGGACAAGAAAATACTAACCCCCCTTCCATTTGCCAGGAACTGGGATTGTTTGGATTTTAATCATAGCCACAGTGAAGAGCCAACATGAGGCCCCTCCAGCCAAAAGATAGATTTTCCACTCTGAACATTTAATTCCTCCTCAAAAAAATAGACCCCTACCAGGGCAAGTGCTCCTTAGAGGGGGGCTTCTTTATTTTCCAATGTAATTTTTTTCTTATTTAACAATACGACAGAAGTAAAATACCCTGGGACATGGCGGCCCTCACACACTGACTCACACTGGAGGGAATGTCTTCATTCTGCCATAAGTCACATCTAGCTCACCGGTGTATCGATCCCGGGCAAAGATGAATACAGAATCCCATGATCCTCTGAGATAAATCTGACATTTTCTTTAAATATATAGCCACGGAACAACTGTTTCTGAAACTTCACGAAACAGGTCACCAGGGCAACACAGCATTGATTTCACGTCCAGTGATTTTTTTAGAAGGAGCACTGAACGTTTTCTCAATATTTCAGCCAACTGCAGACCCCAGAGGTCCCCCAGAGAGATGCTGTCCCTCGCCACCTACAGATGGAGGGGGAGGCATTCCGGGAGAAGCAGACATGAGACTCCCAAGAAAGAGAGCCCCCAGTTAGCTCCTTTACGGCAGAGCCCCTGATCAGATCTAGGGCAACGTAAGAATCATGCACTTTTTGAGAATTATTGTAGACCCGACCCTTGAATTGGAAACAGGTTTTAAGAGGCTGAGAGACAGCTAAGCAGAGTGGTCAAGACCTTGAGTCCATACGCTACCACTTGGCTAATGGGTAACCCGAAACAAGATACTTAACCTTGCTAAGTACCTCAGTGTCCCTGAATGTGAAGTGATAGTAGTAATTCCTACTCGATAAATTATTACAAGAATTAAATAAGAATGTACATAATTCGAGAGATTGCTTGGCACAGTGCCTGGCATGGAGTCAGATCTCAGAAATCGTTGTTAGTAGTGATCTTAGCAGTCCTGTTCATTTAGTGCTAAGGTTTTTTCCACCTACAAAGATGGGAATGAATACAATGCATCAAGTCTAATGGTCGGACGTTTAGCTGTCAGTGACGTCTGTGACATCGTCTAGGTTTTCAGTGTTGTAGAAACAAATAAGTATATATTTACCTTTTTCCAAGCTCAGGTGGTTTTTAATCGATGTACCTAAGCCCTATGTGGCTAAAGAACTGTGGTCACTATATCTACTGTGGCCACACCAGAGGAGTGGCCCAGAAGGAGCAGTAAAATCCTAAGAAAGGAAGACAACCCATAGCAGTACTATCCTAAACTCTCCAACACTGTTGAGATCACCTCCGTACTTCCCGGCCCTAGAATGGCCTTTCAAAGAATCAGGGGCACTCAGGTCCATGAGGATAAGTAGGGTATATAAGGCCATCACAGAGTATTGGGCTATTGGGTCACTGGATGTAAATATTCCCCTCCCTGACCAGCTGGGTTGGAAAAGCTAGGATCTTGACTCATCCGTGAACTCAGGTCTTCCCAGGTGGAGGGGAGACAAGTTGAAAGGCCAACAGCATGGGCAGAGATCCAAGGCTACTGCCTCTTGGTAAAGATAGTAAAGCAATCTCCATTCAGTGAATTTGGATCTGAGTCACTAAGTAAAAGGGAACACATGAGCAGTGTCTCTGGAACCCTGACTCCCTAATTTCATCCACGCCTCAGTTCCTTTCCAATTTATTCCTTGATTTGTTCCCTCAACATAACATGCTGTCCTTCATGCACAGAGATGACCCTGATGACTCACACATCAACACGACTTATTTTTTCCAGCAGTGGTCAGGAATTTTCACTCATGCATCCAACAAGGGTTTGCACACAATGGCTGGAGGGGATAGGGGTGAATCGATCAGCCTTGGAAGGTAGCAAGGCCAAACAGTCCACAGGCAGATTGAATAAATATATGGACTTGCCTCCCAGCCCCCACCATCGGGATGCCCAAACGCAAGCCAAATAGGCTGACAAAAGATTATGAGGAATGGAAAGGACATGCAATCGGAAGTAAGGAGGCCTGGGTTCAAGTCCTAAGTCGGCCAGTCCCTAACAATGCAATCCTGGCTGTGTCTCATGTGCCTTTTGGGGGCTCAGAACCCTTACCTTAAAATGAAGAAATACCTCTCTCCCATAATGCTCATGATGATAAATCTATTTTTTTCATGATGATAAATCTAAGGTCATGTAAATGAAAGCACACCTGATAATCTCCATAAAATCATATATTATGAATGTTATTTATTATAAATTGAAGTACTCTGTAGTATCATAAACATAAATACTATTATTACTAGTTACCTACAGATCACAGAACCAGGTCCTGCTCAGAGACAAGATTCCGGTCTTCTTCAGAAATGTGCCAGAAAGAGCATCAGAAAATCGAACAACAAAGAGCATGCTTTGCTCTCACTGAACATGGTACACTCCACATCACCCAACCCAAGGAGCCCCTTCAAGTGCATGCCCAACCTTAGGTGGCTCCACCACCCCACATTTCTCCCCACCCAGCCTCTACCACCACTCTACCACTAAGACCGAACTTACAATTCCCGAAGACTCAGCCTCTGGAAAAGCTGCCATGAGAGCGTGGTGAGCCGGTTACTCGACAGGTTTCTGCAAGAGTGACAGATAAAGGGGAAATTAAGGGACAGATCTGGCATAAGTAATGCTCTTGGTAGGAAGCTTGGTTACTTCACGGGAGCCTGGCTTTGTTGTTCTTCTCCCTTGTTCCATCCTGCTAACGATGTATCTGCCAGGAGTCAAGGCCCCAGATCAGGTTGGGAAAGGATTTCAAGAAAAGGAAAGGGAGAGATTTTACAAATGTTAAAAAATAATAATAATAATTGTTGGTCATTTTCCCACATCCTCTCATCACAAATAAAGGTTCAGGGAACCTTCTGGAAGCCACCCTCCCACAGGGGGTCAGAGCTCTCAAGATACACAAGCCAACAAGCGTTCTTCTTCATTTTTATTATTGAGGTGTCACGGACATTAAAAAAAACTGTGCATATTTAATGTATACATTTTGATGAATTTCAAGGTAAGTGTATACCCATGAAATTGTCGCCATAAGCAATGCCATAAACTTAACCATCAACTTAAAAAATTTCCTCCCCCCCCCTCTATTTTTGGTATAACCATTAATATAAGATACAACCTCTTAACACATTTTTAGGTATACAATCCAGTATTGTTAATGACCCACTATGCCGTACTGTACATCTCTAGGACTTACTCATCTTGCATAAGTGAAACTATGTCCCCTTTTACCAACAAGCATTCTTAACATTCACAATAGTGGGAAAAAACCCTGCAGGTCACCTACAATTTCTTCTACCCAGTCCCTCCCCCAGCAAAGAGACCCATCCACGATCAAGACATAAGCCTTTTGTTCACACTTCTGTTCTCCTCTAATGGCTATTTAATTGTTTTCATTAGGATGTACAGGGGAAAGGAGTAGCCATTAGTCTTCCAAGTAATAGAAGAAACACGCCCACGGTGATCACGTTGCCAGGCTCAACAAACAACTTTTGATGTGGTAACAGCCCTTCAAGGCAGCAGTGAGACAGGGCTGGAGTGGACGTGACCCCCCTGCAGGAACACTACTCCCGCACTGATGAGATCGGATGCCACACAGGTCAAACTCTATCCACACACACACACAAGCATGTGTGCATTGGTGTCGATTAAACACGCGGGTGATAAACACAAGTGCAGACTCTTGTTTATACGCACACACATACACTTACGCACGCACCTCTACTTAGCTGATTTCTACAGCAGATACTTGGGGGAGGAACCAAGTACAGGTTACTTGGGGGAATGAAGGGTGGACAAATGAGAAGGTCCCTGTGAAACCTACATTCAAGTTACAAATGAATAAGCAAGAGAACTGCAGTTTGCCATGAATAGAAGGAAGGGTACAAAGTGATGTCATCACTGATGTAGGAGAGGGAGACAGCTCCTTTATGCAGGTGCTTAGAGTGGCGCCCTCCAAGAGGGTAGCATCGAGCTGAGGCCAGAGCGAGAATGAGCCAGTGCCAGCATTGGGGTGTTCTGGGCAGTGGGCGCAAGGCAGAGAGAGGGCCGGTGGGGAAGGAGGTAAGGGAGAGTGGTCCGGGGTAAGGAGGAGAAGGGACAGCCACAACCACCTTGCTGGCCATGGTGAGGACCTTGGATTTTATTTTAAGGAGCAATGAGAAGGCACTGGATGGCTTTAAGTAGGGAAGTGGCATAATCTAATCACCATTTCTTAAAGTAAGAGACCAAGACTGGAAGCTGGCAGACCAATTAGGAGGCTGCTGCAGTACTGAGGAAGGGGATTAGAGATAATGAAGCAGGTGGATTTCAAGAGGAGGGCGGGGGGGGAGGGGACGGTGGGGAGAACGCCACCAGAACCTCCTATTGGATTGGGTCTGGGAGGGAGGGAGGAAGATGCCAGCAACCAGGCAAGCAGCCAGATCATTTAATGAGACCAGGAAGGCTGTAAAAGGGTCCTATCTGGGGTTCAGATCATGAGCCTCCCCTTGCAATACTAAGTTTGAGATATCCAGAGAGAGAAATCAACTAGCCTGCTGGATACTTGGGTCTGGCGGTCATAGGGGACGTCCAGGCTGGTGGGATCACAGACGGCACGTAGAGCTTTCACGGGGAACAGACGGCACACACAAGGACCACCTAAGGGACAGGGCTTCCCCTTCGCATTGGAGGCGGCCGCACCCTTGGTGACAGCTGGTGACTAGGTTAGAAAGGCAGCCCCCTTTCTGTGGGTGCAGGGGACTGATGGACAAAGGAAGGGGACCACAGGTAGAGGTCCCGAGGCTTCCTGTTCCACTTCCCCTGCGCCCAGCACTCTCCTTACAGAGTCCTCCAGTCCGCACAGCGCTGTCTAGGGTAGACACCCCCATACCCCGCTTCCTGCCCGCAGAAGGAAGAGCTCTAATGCATGAGAATCACCAAAAGCTCTTAAACCTTAACCTGTCCACATGCTCAGCTTCCCAAAACCCCTACCCACAGACTGTCTTGTGCCTGCAAACTTCCTCCATGCCCCGCTGATCAGAGGAAAGGGGTGATAAAGGAAGGCCTGCATGGTGGCCACTTAAGGACACCACTGGGGCACAGCTCCCCTGACCCACCTCCTGCTCAGGAGGGTGGAGCGGGGATCAGGTGCACATGCCTAGCGAGTGGCTGGCTTTACACTAGGGTTTGCATCTGGAGCTCAGACCTCGGGGACAAGGACACTGGGTTTCGGTACCACACTTGAGTCCCCATTACCCTGAGCCTCTGTGAGGTTTCAGCAAATGTGAGCGAAGGTAGAAGCCTTCATGCAGATAGAAGTCTTCTGGTCTGTTCTCCCAGCTCACTCTCTATGCACAACCGAAGCAATGGCAGGCAAGGTCACACAGGCCCGCCCGCCATGAGGTCTCCTCCTCACTCCAGCACCTTCTTGAACAGAACCCCCAGTTCTAAAACTGAGCAGCACCCCATGAGAGTCTGCAGCCAGGAACTCCAGATTCGCAAAGCCCTCAGAAGCAGCCCCCCCCCCCGCCCCCGCAGTGAGAAGCAGGGAAACAGGAGTAATGCAGGTCAAGTAGGGATCCTGCCCATCTGCGAGGGAGGACCAGCCTGGGAGTGTGTGCCAGGGGGTTCCGGGGGAGCCCGAGGCCAGGATCAGGCTGCCAGCAATGTCCTTTCACAAAGGTCATGTTTTGCTACATTAGGCAGAAATGTCATGAGAAAATTGGATTCTAGAAGAAAGAAAATAACAGGCATTCTGGGCAAATAAAGAATAAGAAATAGCATTATCTCCTTATTGCAAGTTGGAGGTGGGGAGGGGGCCTGGGACATTCGGTAAGGGGGAGGTGGGCCCTGTTCTCCTGGGGGTGTCTGGGCTGCAGCTCCTTCCTGCCACGCCCACCAAGCCCCACCAGGAAGAGAAAGGGCCCCTGGATTCCTCCAGCTCTTCGGCCAGATGGAGCGGCCGCTGCAGGACTGACGGGCTGTGTCCAGGCCGACAAACTCCTCTCCGCCCCAGCCGCCTCCCAGGCACACAGACCATATTCTGCCGTTGGAGGGAAAGCCTGCCCTTACTCCTCCTGCAGACGGGGGCTACTCACCTGTGCTCACACCTCCCTGCCTCCCTGCACAGCCAACAGCCGCCATTCACCAAGGGCTGATTACTAAGCACCAGCTACTGTGTTCAGCACTTTTATATCCGTGACCTCGTTTAATATATACGGCAACCGCACCGAGTGGGTGTTACTCTCATCTCCGCGGTCGAGCTGGACGGGTCTGAGTGGCCTTAACGCAAAGACTCCGTCAACAAGGAACAAGCCACACCCCCAGGAATGTTCGCAACCAACACACAGACGTGTAAACTCCCAGGTACGCGCACACGCCCCTCGGCGTGTGTTGCCAGAGCGCGCGGCACCGCGCCACGCGAGTCCCTGGAGGAACGCAGTGCATACATCCTGTGCGACCGTGCACGTACGCAGTGCCCCGCCAGAGACGCGCGAGAGAAGCCTGCAGCCCCAGCGACAAACATACACACAAGACAAGTAAGGCAAACACACAGCCACCACAAGACATGCAGGGCACGCCTCTGGCCACCCTGCCCTCACGGGCATTTATAAATACTCATGGTGCAGGAACATGGGGACGCTGAGAGGCGGGGCTTTGACGGACTCACCGCCCTCTCAGAACTCACTGCCCCTGATCTTCTTCCCAGCTAGTGCCTCATCTGTATTCACCTGCCACCTGTAATTGATGGGCTGGTCATCCCGCTCATCAGACTCAAGGGTGGAGTTAAGAACCATCCTGCCTCTAGGCCCCACAGCAACGTCTTCCGGAAGCTTCCTCCCTGACAGATCCATTATCCCCCATCTCTGACTTTTGCCTGGGTCAATGGCCAGTTTCCCAGCCACCTGACCCCTGGAATTAATTTGGCGAGCAAGATTTTATGAGATGAGGCGTCACTTTCCCAAAATCAAGCTCTGTGACATTGCTCCTGTAGCCGTCATCCGAGACTACCGAACAAAGCCATTAATTCTGTCCTGCATTGCTGGCTCTCTCGCAGCCCAGACTCTGGGGCCCAGAGTAATGAACAATGATGATGCAGCTACTGGGTGCTCTGGGAACAGGGAGCCAGACACGCAGATGGCCAAAACCGGACCCACAGGAAGGATAGGGCTGAAATGGCCCTTCCTGCCCTTAACCCCTTGGTGAACACGGGTCCTCCCAGGCTAAACATCTCAGCATGGGAAGCAGTCCCATGACCTTCCTGAAGGGGACAACCAACTGCAGCAGGATAGAACCCATGATCGGGGAGGATGTCACCCTCCACCTTGTCCAACCCTACTTCCAACCAGAGGGTCACTCAAGATGGACCCTGTTGCCAAGAAAAGGCAACCAGATGAATTCCTCTGTTGCCCCAAAGGCACCATATCCCTGGGGGCTGAGACTTGAGGAGGGGACACTAAGCCCCATTCACAAGTGGTCCTGAAGCTGGGACACCTTGTAGAGTGCCTGGATGTATAGCGTGGCTGACGTCTAGAAGTGCCTCCTCTTCTATGGGCAGAGGCAGGCCCAGCGGGCAGGTTATGTTTCAGGACTGG